GGCGCCATATAATCCCATCAACAGCCAAGACTCAGAGACTATAAAACCCAGCTCCCAGAAGCGCGCGCCTGCATTCGCGGCTGTGCGACATCTTATTATGACATCTTATTATCTCATTCCTACTTTGGACAAATTGGCAGGCTACCAAATGCAACCTGCCCACATGGCAGAGTCTGGCAAACTCCCCGTGGCGTACCCAATATGCCAAATACCAGTAACAATGATGGGTCTCATTCTCCTAAAGAGCCTTGAATATAGCACTTTCTTAAAAATCCCAGGGCTAGAATGAAGGAGATATTACTGGGGCCTGCTCGAGGCAATCGACAAATAACAGGATGGTTGTGGTCGTGGTCAAAGCTGCAAATCGATGGGAGAGGCCACCAGAGTGCAGAAGCACCAGAAGGTCTACCTTCAGGGCTTCTCTCTAGCATGTCCTCAGGTTAGCCCCAAAGACTCAGTCCTCCATGTGGTTCTGATGAGTCACTCTGTTTAGCCGGTCCTGAGAGCCCACATTCGACTGAAAGTGCAGGAGATGCAATGCTACTTCATTTTACCACCTTTCACCATCTCACCATTTAAAAAATTGCAACTTCACACCTACACTAATATTACTTCATTGTAGGATAACATTGGTTTGTCCTTTCTGCTTTGCCATTGGAGCTTAGATCTATTGGGTTACTCCCATCATAGCGCTCCCATTTCTCTGTATTTATTTGTAACTTCTTTCCTTGTAATCTCTTAACTTGTAAATATTGTTTTTCTCTTCTCCTTAAGTCCTTTGCATAGTTAATTCCGAGCAATGTCCTTTATGTATAAACACAGAAAGACAGTTAATGCTATGCTTTTGCAACTTGGGAGTTAATTGATTCTGAATAAACCCCCCTGGGCATCTGTTCTCTCAACTTAAGCTTCAATTGCCCTTACTTCCTGTAGCACTGTCCTCCCATTGTTCATCAATTTGCAGGTACCAGTAACGTCTCTATTGTGAGACGTGTTGTTAACTGTTTTTGGCATATCAGATATGTCATGAGTAGCTTGCCAACCCAGGTCAGTCACATGCAAGGCAAACATCCTACCCATCCTACCTGCTGTGCTATTGTTCCAGCCCTTACTTCTGAGCACTGTAGTCTGAGATCTATAGCGAGATGTCCCCAGGAGAGCCACCCTACAAGCTTAATGTATCTTTTACTGTGTCCATACAAAATAACTAATATTAAAAAGTAGAGTTAAGATGTCAATTAAGATGCTAATTAAGTTATTGGACTAAGGAGAGGAGAAACACCCCTATGTGGTGGTATTTCCAACCCTTGAACCTGATAGGTGATTAAGAAGGGCCTTTGGATATGTTGATTTTGCTACAGGCCAGGGTGTGGTGTCTACCTCCAATGCATGGAGATGGAGAGAGACTGGAGAGAGACCAGGGCAGCAAGATGGAGCATGGAGAGACTAGCAAGGGTGACAGAGGGAGAAGAATGTAGGGGAAGAATGCAGGAGCAGGCACATGGAGCGACGAGAGACACAGCTGCAAGAGGAAGAGCAGAGAGATGAGCGGGAGAGACAGGAGGAGACAGGAAAGAAGGCCAGTGTGAGGCTAGAATGGGGAGATTATTGAGACTGGAACAGGCACGTGGGAAGAATGAAATAAATGGCAATCACCAACCAGCCTGGTGACCTCGTTTCCTCCTTCATCAATCCATGTCATTAGCCGTCCCGGGTGGGGAAGCAGCTTGAGACCACCGAACGCAGGTGGCGAGGGAGAGAGCCACCGAGGCTTTCCCTAGCCACCCAGAGATTACACACTCCATTATTCGTATTTTTTCCGCATGGCTAATCCTCACTCTGCTTTGCATTCTTTCTAAGAGTATAAACTTGCTCTCAGACCTCATTCTACTTAATAAACAAAATCAGGAAATAAGCAAACAAACAAAAAAAACTCCCAACACCTTCCTCCTTCAAAGAACCCACCAACACATTCTCCTTCTCTGTTTCACAGATTTCCCATCATCCTTTCCATGACCATATTTAATGGTTAATGTTGAAGTTGCCAATTCTTCTAACTCCCCAGTTCTTCTTTCTACACCACTATTTATTCCTCCACTTGTAAAAACATCTTGCCACATGACACATAACTTACATATCCCTGCTACACAATAAAAACTTGCTATTCATATTGATGGAAGGTTTTATCTATTTTTTAAATTTTACTGTTTTAATTGAGTCACTGTGATATACAGTTACAAAGCTGTTCATGATTGGGTTTCAGTCATACAATGATCTGACAATCATCCCTTCACCAGTGTCGTGTCCATTTTCCACCACCAATGACCCCAGTTTTTCTCCCACCACCCCTCTTCCCCGAGCCTGCTTCTACAGCTCTATGGCAGGTACTTTCCTTCTCTCTCTCTGTCTCTCTCTCTCTCTCTTTCTCTCTCTCTTTTTCCTCCCTCCATCCCTCTTTTTCTACCTCTGTCCCCTTCTGGACACTATGTTTTGCAACACAGATGCTGGGAAGTTATCGTGTTGGTTCTTTTTCCTACTTTCAGCAAGCAGTTTCATTGATGGAAGGTTTTAGACTTGGGTTTCAAAACCTTCTTATCTAGTCTCCAACCATATAATGCTGTGTAAAATTAATGTCCATGTCAAAGGAGTAGTCAACAACTTAGTTTACAATACATTCCTTTGGCAGGGCTATGATGTATAGCAGAGCAAGCACATGCTGACCACTTGTGATGCCCTGGGTTCAGTGCTTGGCATATACACACACAAGGGAAAAAATCATGCCTAATCTTCAGCAAACTTTAGTTTTACACCTCAAAATTAATGTGCTTCTAAAATTATCCAGAAATGTTGTCTGAAAAATTACAGACTTCAATATTTTCCTCTTGGACCACAGTTTTCCCTCGACTATCTGACTTTCTGCTGTCTACAGCCATGACTGCTGTCTTTTTTTTTTATTTCAACAGAGACTTTTTAGGATTTTTAAATAGCGTATAGAGCTCTTCTAAATGCTTACTAAACAAAACCTGGCATTTGTCTTCTGAATATCTATTATGGCCCATCATGCTGGCCTTTGTCCCAGAATATAGATCATGACCAATTAGGGAAATGGCTTCGGTTCCTAGGGCCAGAGATGGAGAGAAAGTTCATGTCTGAAATGAAAGCCGAGTCCTATTACAGGCAAACTCAGCTCCCAAGCATGACTCTAGCCCCTGCCTGTGTACATTTGCAATGCAAAGCTTCAATGGCAACATCCAGTTTCTAACCCCTGACAGCTCAGAGACCAGCCAGTTGCTGATTTCATTGACTTATTTTCCTGTGAGTGTGATTAGCTTGACGGGCTAATAAATAGGACTAGTTAAGGATAATTTTATTTGGCAGTGCTCAATTTCTGCAGAAACTATAAAACTGAGATACATAAAGATACTGCTGAAGTAATAGGGCCAGGGACTAGATTTCTCATTAAAAATCAATCACAGATGTACTCTCTGGACCCAGCATACCAAACAGAATAACAGGAGAGGGGGTGTAAGGGGAGACTTGAATGGCCCAGCATTAAGCAGTTGAGTCTTCCTCCCTGGAGTGAACAATGTATTCTATACTAATATGCTGCTTCCCCACTGGTAAATCTAATAAATGCTATCTTCCCCTAGTGAAAAGGCATTGAAGTTTATTCTATTCTTCAATTATTTACTTCTTAGGAATAGGAGCTTGCATTCTGTTTGCTTAACGTTCTTCATTTCAATTCATCTATATTTCAGCTGACACATTGCAACTTCATATCTAGTATATTCAGAGCACTGATAATGAAAGATGAAAGAAATTTTCATGGGTTTCAGTGTTAGAAGGAGCTACCATCAGCTTCTGTGAGATCCTACCTTGCTCTGACTGTCAAGAGATTCAACCTTTGAGTTTTTGTTACACCACCTGGAGAGCCACTGAAAACACAGCACAGTTCTGCAGCTTTCACTAAGATTTCTTCAACTCTTTCTGAAAGAACAATTCATTGCTTCTATTCCTGAGGTCGTATTTACCAGTATGACCTTATCTCTGCACTAAATTAAAACTTGGACTTTACTCTGCAGAAAAATCATCATTATCCTGCTATATCATTCTTCTCTTGAATAAAATTTGTAAAGTAAACTTGAGGTTTCAATAATAATCTTCCACTTACTATTGAAATGAAAATAAACTATTGGAAATAAAATTTTAAAGAATTTTTGCTTGGCTATTTGATTTGCTCGAGCAGGCCCAGTAACGTGTCCATTGTAGGACTTCTTGTTACTGTGTTTGGCATATTGAATACTCTCGGTAGCTTGCCAGGCTCTCCGAGAGGGGCGGAGGAATCGAACCCGGCTCTGCCGGGCTGGCCGCGTGCAAGGCAAATGCCCTACCGCTGTGCTATCACTCCAGCCCCGGCTATTTGATTGAATTAACTATATCCTAGGCAAATTAAAATATTTTAAACAAAAAATCCCTTTAGAGAACAAGAATGGGAAATTGAATATTATTCAGTTAATATAAGCAAGAGGCCTGAACAGATAACTTTTTTAAATATGTGGCTTACCAATCTATCTTTTTCAGACCAAATAGAAGGTAAACCATACTAATATCTCTCTGCTTTTGTCTCTTTCAGTGAAATAGCCAAACTGATTCTCCAGGAAGGCAATTTTTATCCTGTGAAATTCAGTTTTCTTCCATTTTCCTATTAATCACAGAGTTTGTTTTTTAGATTTAGCTAACCAGTGTAAATATTGCAACAAAATTCCAACTAGGAGGACGGAGTATCTCCCTCCACCCTATAGCACCAGTCAGGGAAAATTCACCCATCTTGAAATCTAGCAGAGACCCAGTAACTGTGATATAATTTATTATAATAATGGAAAGTAGCCTACTCTATACATCATGCTAAAACAAATAACAGATCAAAGTCATAGCTGTGTTTAAATTGCATTTAATTTATTATCATATGCAACAGGAATCAAGATGAGAAAAGTTCTTACCATTTGCAGGCAAGCAGCCTGGACTGAAAGATATATCGTCAATAGCTATGACTTCATCCTGTTTATGAACTGAAGCCATTTCACCTTGAAAAACCACCTGCCCATGAAAAACACAAGCATAAACAAGGAATATCACTGTCACATTGAATTATAGAACAAAGTCTACAAATAAGAAAAATGTCACTTCCAGGAAGTACTTGGGGTGATCATATTAATTCCAACTAGAACAAGGACCAAGTAGATATTCTTAAAGAAAAGAAAATGTCCAGTTACTCTGCACCTCACATCTGTAAGGGAGGTTAGGTATCTTGGTAATGAAATGAAGAGACAGTCGCCAGATTTCTGCCCTCTGGTCACCTTCTGTTCATAAGACTTAATATTTAACCAGCTCTCAGACCGACACTGCATCTTGATCTCTGGTTATTGACAGTTTGCAACTATCCACCTTTGGCTCTCAAAATTTTATTCATAGTCTTCCCATGGGTACCCTTGTACTGTCCTCCTGCTGCAATTGTCTACACAAACCTTCTAACAAGGCTGGGAATGACCATTCAGTGATTTACAGAAATGATTAATGACAATGCTATATTGTGATGAGCAGTCATTCCAAGTATCAAGAGAAAATACTCTGGTACAACTTAGAAAGGAAATCAACTATCTGGTGGAATATACTCTGCACCAGTTCTTCACTGTGTAGCTAACCTCTGTACTCAGCTCCAGATGTGGTTTTCACACCTGTCAGTATCAACAGAATTCAAGATGGCATTCAGAAACAATTGCATGCTGACTACTTTTACCTCTAAAAGACCCACTTTTCTGGGGAACATAAAGTAACAAAATAGGAAACTAACACCCAAGAATGGCCGAGATTAGTACCAGGAATTTTACTCCATGACCTGGAGGCCAACCACACATACTAGGGGAAAAGGGAGCTCAGATAAAGAGAACTCTAAATAAAGGTGTTGGGGGGATCCTCCCAGGATGGGAGAAGCATGCTGAAAGTAGACTGTAGACCAAACATGATTGCCACTCAATGTTTCTTTTGCAAACCACAACACCCAAAAGGAAAGAGAGAACGGCGGGGGGGTGGGGGTGGGGGGGGAATGTCCTGCCACAGAGGCAGGGTGGGATGGGGGGTATAGGGGGTGGGAGGGATACTGGGATCCGTGGTGGTGGGAAATGGGCACTGGTGGAGGGATGGGTATTTGATCATTGTATAATTGAAACCCAAGCACAAAAATGTGTAAGTCTGCAAGTGTACCGCATGATGTCTCACTATTAAAAAAAATTTTAATAAAAAAATTTTTAAATGAATATTAAGTATATCTAATTTAAAAAATAAAGCTCTGAAGAGCATTTAATCTGATAAAAAAAGACACACTTTGCTTCTCCCTACCCTAATTACAATATATTTAATTATAATATATGGCAAAGTACATACCCACCCACCTTCTGACTGGTCACAATTCTATAGCAACCCACACATAGAACATTTTAGGGATGAAGAACAAGTGGAACCCCAGCTCTTAGAAATATCATGCCTGATTCCTTGAAGACTCCGAACAATTCTCTTCATGCAGTTAGTGTGAGCTCTGTCCACTTGTTGCCTCTTGTTTGCCTGATAATGTCCGCTTTCAGTAAGACTTCTTATGTTACTTTGTCTCTTTTGTGATTTTATTTTGAAGTAAAACAGATTTTATTTGGAAGTTTTTGAAGGGGAGGAGGAAGAGAAAGGGAAGACAGTGGAGACTAATGCGCTCAAGAGAGAGGTTGGGCTTCTCCAAAGGTAGAGAGAGCTCCTACAGACACCCCAGCCTTAGATAGGAAAGTCCACATCTCAAGAGGGAAGACCCAGACACCACATATGCTCGGCCGTGTGAGCACAAGCAGCACATGGGCTTGGGCAGCATATGCCCTCTTTTGTGATTTTTATCCCAAGGGGAATATAAGAACTTCTTGCCCCAGTCACATAATGAATCTGAGAAAATTAGCAAGAAACAGCTCCCTAATTCCCTAATGATTTAATGGCATAGTAACTCGGTGTGAAGGTTGAGAGTCTTAACCCACCCACAGAAATAAATACCAAAGATGTCTGAAGTTTAAATTCACAGACACACACACTCAACTTGTGTGCACAGCTCATCCTTGTTTACAATATAAGCCTTATTTCCAAAAATCAGCACTACATGGAGCTGATTCATTGATGTACAGGCAGTAAACCCTCACAGATCATTATGTAGTGTTATCTTGTTCCTGTCCAACATGACGTACTAATAGATTTCCTTTCAAACCAGATGCTATCTACTAGTCTCTTAAAATATAATAAATACCTGCCACACATCAAGCATACTGTCAATATGTAGCCCTAAGAAAGTCATCTTTTCTACTCGTAAAACTGAATAACTGCATGCCTGCTTATAAACCAGATTGCAAAAGACCATCAAGGATTTCTCTGTAGAAATAATTTAGACAAGAGTAGTAGAAAGTGTATATTTGGAGCCACCCATTGTTTGGGTTCATCTCCCAGTTCATCCTACTTAGTAGCAACAGGATTTTGGAAAATTTACCTAACATTTCTGTGCCTCAGTTATAATAAGGTCCATGCATGGATAAATAAATTATTACATGGGTGACATCAGCACTTGCTTTGCAATAGCAGTAACAAAGTATAAGTTATTATAACATAGTTACCAAAATATTGAATCTTTTTTATCAACAGTATGTTTTTGGATTTAAAAATGAGGGGTTGGATCAATAGCATAGTGGTAGTGTGTTTGCCTTGCACACGACTGACCAGGGTTCAATCCCCAGCATCCCATATGGTCTTCTGAGCACTGGCAGGAGTTATTCCTGAGTGCATGAGCCAGGAGTAAACCCTGTGCATCGTCAGGTGTGACCCAAAAAGCAAAAAAAAAAAAAAAGTAGATTTAAAAATGAATATTTTAGATGAGACCCTGAGTTGCCGCCCATGAATGGCTCCTCCACTCCTGAATGGCCATGATCCCAGAAGCACACAAACCAATCTCAGAACCCAGCAGCTTCTGGCAGAAATACTTCTGGACTGTGAACTAAGCTATAGCCCCATGACACTCTGGGAGGGGAAAGGTGTTTGTCCCTCCGCCTCTTCCCCCTTGGTGGCAGCTGGTGACCGCCATCTTTCAGAGCCTATTGGACAGAGAGGTACGGGCTTGCAGTGATGGGGCACGTGGGGCCTCTCAGGATACAGGGCGAAACCAGCCCTTTCCCCTGCCTGGATGAGACCCTGAGTTGCTGCCCACGAATGGCTCCTCCACTCCTAAACGGCCATGATCCCAGAGGGACATAAACCAATCTCGGAATCCAGTGGCTACCGGCAGAAATCCCTCTGAACTTAATTGCTAAAATATCAGAAATCCAAAATCATGTGACCACGACAGCAGCTGCGCAACATCATATGCTCTTCATTATCAGAAATAGAAAAGAACTTATCTAATGATGCCTTTTCGGCAGGTCTGATAATTGGGGGGAAGTTCCAAATATAAATAGTAGCTCTTCTGTTAAAAATTGAATGTAATCAAAGTAAAGAGAGAGTAAAGTGATAATCATCTGCCACACAGGCAGGGGGGAGGGGTGGGATGGGGGGGTATACTGGGGTTCTTGGTGGTGGAACATGTGCACTGGTGAAGGGGTGGGTGTTTGATCATTGTATAACCGAGACTTAAACCTGAGAGCTTTGTAACTGTTCTCACGGTGATTCAATAAAAAAAAATAAAAATGAATATTTTATTCCTCTTTAAAGACTTTTTTGCAAAAATAATTTGTCTCATTTTTGCTGAGCTAAGCATTTACCTAAAGGAGCCATATTTAAAGAGAAAGGTAGAAATTACTCTTAACTACCAACTAATGTGTTCTTTTTTCTTCACACACCCTTCCCCCAAACCAAACCCATTTATTCTCAGGGTACAACTAACATCCTGGCTGAAGGAACCCCAATTTATACCCCAAAAGCCAGCCTTCCTGGTTCCACAGTCCAAAGGATATTTTCATTCAAGTGACAGGAAATCACATCGAGTCATGTTTTCTTTTCCTCAAAGTTGACCTCTCACCTGACTCACTCTGACATTATTTCCAGAATACTACCACTCAAGCTCTGGAGTGATAGCACAGTGGGCAGGGCGTTTGCCTTGCATGCAGCTGACCCGGTCAAACATGGGTTCAATTCCTCTGCCCCTCTTGGAGAACCCGGCAAGCTACCAAGAATATCTCGCCTGCGCAGCAAAGCCTGGCAAGCTACCCATGACGTGTTTGATATGCCAAACACAGTAACAAGTGTCACAATGGAGATGTTCCTGAGCTTGCTTGAGCAAATTAATGAACAACGGGAGGACAGTGACAGTGACCACTGAAGCTCAAAATTCCAGAATGACCTTGGAGACACTTTTCCCTCTAGTCCCTGGTTCAATCAGTAAAGTAAACCCTGGTGTAAAAAATTACCAGGTATAATCCAGGACACTTGCAGATCTTCCTACCCATAAAACCATTTCAATAAAAATAAAAGAAATACTTTTCCTGAATTGGGGCTAAATATCTGCTGTACCCTCTGCCTGCCTGATTCTTTGTCTATGTAACATTTGAAAATAATAGCAAAATTAATTGCCCATATCTTCAATTTCAAAAAATGTGATTGCCTCTAATCAGCATCTTGCAATGCGTGGTAATATGTCATCTAGTACAAAATCCCCCAAATATTTAATGAGCTGGTATAATAGATTTGATAAAAAACAATTGAAGATTAGGGTTTCTTTTTTCCATTGTTTTCTTCTTCCATATCTTATATATCCTTAGAATGTCTTAAAATGATAAAAAGTTAACCCTGGCTTATGAATGAAAGAAGAAAGCTGATGTGGTAGAGTTCATGTTGGCATGTATAAGGCCCAGAGCTTGATCTTCAACTTTGCATGGCAGCGCAAACACCCCCAGTTTGTCTTACTAGTGTTTCCTGACTGGCCAGACCCCAAAACCATCAGGGCCACACTCTCCAACCCACCAGGGCTCAGTGTGACTCCTATTCAAAAGTGATCATCGCACAAGAATGAAGTGACTAGGATCTGAAATCAAACTACCTTTGGTGTTAATTCAATATGGGATTTAGCAATTATTCTACCCACAATCCTCAGCTCTACTTCAGTGAAGGATCAAGAAGGGTTAATAAGATAACGAAGCCCAAGAACTGAATCACAAATGCTACTAAAGCACTAGTTCTCATTATTCAACATGATCAGAACTTTGGAAACCCTGCATCTTTGTTGACTATTCCTTGTTTCTGTAACTGTAGTTCAATGAAAACTAACATGCTTCAAACTTTTGTTTGGAATAGATCTTTAACTTTATAGGTGAAGGTCACAAAATCCCCAAGGGAGAGCCGGCCTCTACACCAGCATTCAGCTGGGATCATAGTCTTTCTTTAGAAATTTATTTATTTCTAAAGAAATGATGTATGACATTTAAAATATCAGAAGTCAGCATAGAAATGAAATTAATAATGAAAAGAACAGAGTAATTTCCCTAAGGGAATGAGGCAACAGATAAGTAGATACTGTCCGAAGACTCTGATTAAAAAATGCCCTCAATAGGACTCTGTTGAAAACATAATATGAGACCAATGCCCAAGGATAGTAGGAACAAGGGCAAGGAGGATTGGTCCATGGTTGAAAACCCATCTCAAATGCTGGGGGAGAGGGTAGTTGGGCTAGAGAAGGAACCACCAAGACAATGATAGTTGAAAATGATCACCCTGGATAAGAACTGAGTGCTGAAAGCAGGTAAAGGAGCAAACACGATAACCTCCCAGTTTCTGTATTGCAAACCATAATGCCCAAAAGGAGAGAGGGAGAAAGAAGGGGGGAGAGAGAGGGAGAGAGAGAGACAGAGAGAGAGAAGGAGAGACAGACAGACAGAGATAGAGACATAAAAGAGAGAAGGAAAGGGCCTGCCTTAGAGACAGGCTAGGGGAAAGGGTGGTGGGAGTGAAACTGAGGACATTGGTGGTGGGAAATGCACGCTGGTGGAGCAGTGGGTGTTGGAACACTGTATGACTGACACCCGACCATGATCAGCTTTGTAACTATATTTCACAGTGACTCAAAATAGAATAAAAATTAAAACACTACTGAATTGTTAAAAAGAATAAACTTTTAAGAAATCAGAGACTAGAGGGTAGAAAGCAGCATGACAAGCACAGCATATCTCTGTGTCCCAGGCAAACAAAAGCAAATGAGCAGCTGCTCACTTGCTGACAGGACAGAATTGAAACATACCTACAATCTTCAAGATTGGTGTAGCCTGAGGATCCCAAGAGAGTCATATGGTCTCCAAGTTTTTACAAAGCCTTTAAAGTAGAAGCGCTGTTTTCACATTAGCAATAAAGTATTCCAGGGAAACAAATTAATATAGTGCTCCTGCATCTGCTTTGGTTGAAGCCACTGCCGCATTTTAAAGCACTCAAGTGAATAACCTGGCTGCCTCGGCTACAGTTGAACTGCCCGGGAGATGATATATTTGGGAGTTTTACATTTTGTATTTAGCTACTGCACATATTTAATCATCAACCTCCATGGCATACCACTAGGGAACAGGCAGTTAAGGAAAACAGGGAAGTTTGTTTAAAAGTTTTCGCTACTAGGTCCAGAGGGTTTCGACTCTGCCCTAATCTCTGTTGAAAGACCTCTACCAGACCTGATGATAGAGGCAGCTAGAAATGCAAAAGAAAAAGGTATCATAATGATGGTGTGTAATGGTTTTACCATTGGTTCTGTTTACTAGTTTGAAACTGTATGGAAATATGATAGATTATACAGAGGCCAGATTCCCATCTCGGTCACTCCAATTTATTCATGCATGCAAAGAGAATGGGCGTCAGCCAGTTCAGCCTTTGGCATCTAGTCAATGTATCTCAATCTCCTCAGAAGCACTCTTGGCTCTATTGTGTTGCTAATAATACTAGCCTGAGAGATCCAAAGTTATAAGAGAAGGTTAAGTAATAAGCTAAAAACGCTCTGTGTGTTAGTGACATCTGAACACCAACAACAAATTCAATGTGTTATTGGTGTCATATATTCTTATGCTGTTCACTGTTCCCCACCAAAGCCAGAAATATGTAATGTCTCACCACCCCACATGAGTAAAAAATATTCTCTTTGCAAATCAATATTAGGTAAGGGGTTGATAGCCAGAATGCAAAAGGAAATAACATAGCTCAGTAGTAAGAACAAAAATTCACTATGTTAAAAATGGACAGAAATTCTGAACAGACATTTTTTCCCAAGGAAGGCATATGAAAGACCAGGGAGCAATCAGAAGCAATAGGGAGAGGCAAGTCAGGTAAGGGAACCACGATGAGATAACACCTCACACTTGTTAGAATTGGCTGATATCAGAAAGCCAAGAGATAACACACGCTAGTATTTCATGCAGAGTTGGTCAGAGTCATAATTGAAATAAACTGTACACCAGAAAAGAAAAATAGTCCTTGTTCATGGACTGGAAGAATTTACATGGTGAAAATAGCCATCCTACTAAAAGCATTAATAAAAGATTCAATGTAATTCCCATCAAAATTCTGACGGCATTTTTCAAGGACTTGAAAGAATGAGAACTAAAATTCATGTAGAATCATAAAACCTTCTCTAATAGCCAAAAGCTTTCTGAGATGGGAACAGGCAGCATTTCATTTCCTGGTTTTAAATTATACTATAAAGCTATAGTAATCAAAAAGTGTGTGGTACTGAAATATTGGCAGACTTTCAGGTCAGTGTAATAGAATAGATATCCCAGAAATAAACCTTTAGGTATATGGACAGCTCATCTATGACTATGGAACAGGGTACATGAAGTGGAGAAAAGAAAGTCTACTCAACAAGTGATAATAGGAAAATTGAATAGCCACATGAAAAAAATATGGCACTGGATATATATCTGATACCATACACAAAAGTTAATTCTGAGTGTCTCAAATACCTCAAGACTAGATCTATATCCATGACTTGAGGAAAACATATGTGACACCCTCCAAGACAAAGACCTCAGAGGTATCATTAATGATTTGAATTCAGAGGGAAATAAAAATAAACAGATGAAACTACACCGTATTCAAAAGCTTATGCATGACCAAAAAAAAAAAACTTATGCATGGCAAACAAAACTTGGCACATAGAAATTTAAAAAAAGCATATGTTAAAAAAAACATTTATTCACATCATAAAATCAAATTAGTGTTCTCTAAAAGAGAAGAGGAAAGAAGTGAGTGAATGAATTGGTTAAAATGAATCCATTTTCTAAAGTACATAGAATTGGACTTCTTCATTGTGCATGCTTAAAAACTTATAATGATTCATAAGATAATGCTACTTCAATTAAAAATATCTCACAAATTAAAAAAAAGTTATTTTCCTGTCTGTTTTAAAAGGAGTGTTTGGCCATTTCAATATCCCGAATCTTCAGTTCTTGAAGGTCCTCACAAATACCTCAGTTCTTTATTCGTCTTCTCACTTCTCATAGTCTTCTCACTTTTAATTCACCTGTTACTAAAATCTGTAGTTTATTCCCCACCCCACCCCCACATTAAACCTACTTTAAAACCCAACACACACACCTGAAATTTCTGGGCGCTCTCGATGGTTATGACATTCCTCTTCCACTGTGCCAGGGACCCAGCTGGGCTCCGCCACACGAGCTGTGTGGGTCCACCACATGCAGTTTGGAGACCTGCTGATAACTGACCATTCATTAGGCTGGAGAAGTAATAAAATGTGACCTGTGAAAAACAATCATCAAACAATGATAATGAAGAATTTCCTAAATGTAAAAAAAAAAGTATTTAAAAATGCTATAGATTTCAAATACCTGACAAGCATGTTGATGATTTGTGGGAAGAAAAATTCTGCTTTTTAAACTTGAAATAGAATTGGTTTGGGGAACAAGTGACAGGAAGTAGGCTGTTAAAAGCAAGAATGACCATGTTAGAATCAGAGCAATTCCTCGTGAATTTCCTTAAGACACCAAGGATATTTCCTTTTTAAAAGTTTGTCTTAAAATTCGTACTTGTCATATTAAACAGTCAAATAATAGAGTAACATTTTCCATAAGATGGTTAAATGACTAAAATTATTTAAAATGCATGGATTTCATAAATGTATATTTGCTCGATTTGCTCGAGCGGGCCCAGTAACGTCTCCATTGGAGACTTTGTTGTTACTGTGTCTGGCATATCGAATACTCTCAGTAGCTTGCCGGGCTCTCCGAGAGGGGCGGAGGAATCGAACTCGGGTCGGCCATGTTGACCGCTTGTAAGGCGAACGCCCTACCCATACTTCTGAGTTGAGTATTGTGAAAGCAGCTGCCACCTCATTCAGTAACTGCTTGAAAGCCCCCACTGCCAAATAATATAAATGAAGTGTTGAAAATATATCGAATTTTGTTGTTCTCATTTTCTAACTTTAATTCCAACTTTGTGCCAACAACAAGCTTTGTTTAAAAATACACATTCAATTTTATCTCCAGGTCTATAGTTTGAGTCTAGAATTGGTTTATTCCGGAGTTGGGAATGTGCGACCTCCCCCCATCTCCCTATGCTTCCAGCAGCCTGGCAGTCACACCCAGGAACTGCTTCTGGCACTGTCCAATGTCATTAACGGCCATGATCCAGAGACACACAAATAAAGCTCTTAGAAGAGAGCAACACAAAACGATATGCTGCAGAGATGCCTCAGAACCACAAAGTAACCATTTAATCAAAAAAAATGTAATTAAGCTCAGCTGTCGTTCCCAACGTTCTCCCTTCCGAAATCCGACACGCCATTTTGTCGATAAAAAAACAAACAGCACCCGGCCCAGACAAGGTCAAACCTGAACACCTGAAGAACCTGCCATCAGTACTCATCAATACACTGGTTCGGCTCTTCACTCGCTACCTGTCTGAATGCAAGGTTCCGTCCCAATGGAAAACCAGCAGGACCGTACTACTGTTCAAGAAGGGAGACATCCATGACATTGGCAACTATCGCCCAATCTGCCTATTGTCTGTCATCTACAAGTTGTTCACTCGAGTCATCCTAAATAGGACTGGCAGAACACTAGAAGAAGGACAACCATGCGAGCAAGCAGCTTTCCGCAAAGGATTCAGCACCATCGACCATATCCACACAATAACCAAACTCATTGAGGTTTCTCGGCAGTTCAAGATGCCGCTCTGTCTAACGTTCATTGATTTAAAGAAGGCCTTTGATTCTGTTGAGACGGAAGCGGTCATTGAAGTCCTAGCCAATCAGGGCATTCAAGCCCAATATATTAGGATCCTTCGTGAGCTGTATTGCGGATTCACTACCAGGATCTCACCATTCTACAAAGAAGTGATCGTTGATGTCAAGAGAGAGGTTCGGCAGGGTGATACCATTTTGCCGAAACTCTTCAGTGCCACCCTCAAGAACATCATGCGACGACTGGAATGGGAAGGAATGGGAGTGAAGATAGATGGTTGGCAATTACACAACCTCCGCTTTGCTGATGACATTGTTTTAATAATACCAAACATCAGCCAAGCGGCACAAATGCTGGCCGACTTTGACCGTGAGTGTGGAAAGGTAGGACTACAGCTGAATCTTATGAAGACAATGTTTATGAGAAACAGCCTCGTTCCTGACGCCCCATTTGCTCTCAACGGAACGACCATCTCCGAATGCAACAGCTATGTGTACCTAGGTCGAGAAGTCAACATGACAAATGACCTGGCACCCGAGCTGCACAGGAGGAAGAGATCGGCTTGGAACGCCTTCAAGAACGTCGAAGAAATAGCTAAGAGGACGAAGAACCTCTGGCTCCGGGCACATCTCTTTGATTCCACTGTTCTTCCTGCATTAACATATGCCTCAGAGACCTGGGCCCTACGCAAACAGGATGAGAACGCTATTCAGGTCTCCCAAAGAAGAATAGAAAGAGCTATGCTTGGAATATCACGTTTCACTCAAATGAGAGAAAAAATCCGGAGTTCCGACATCCATCGACGATCAAGAATCAGGGACGCTGTCTCATTTGCCAAGGTGTCAAAAGTCAGATGGGCTGGTCACATAATGAGATTTAAAGATGACCACTGGACTAGAGCTGTTATTGACTGGATTCCACGGGATGTCAAAAGACCACGTGGCCGCCCACCTATCAGATGGTCAGACTTCTTCGTCAAGATCATGAACGATCGGTTTGAGGCTCTTCATGTTCCCAGAGCGAACAGATGCCATTGGGCTACACTAGCACGCGACAGGGACAGATGGAGACGTTACTGGCGCCCGCTCGAGCAAATCAACGACTAACGGGAAGTTAAGTGATTAAGTGATTAAGCTCAGCTGTATAAACATATTTAAAATTTTAGAACTCCTGGTGCACGGACATTTTATATGTTGGTAGTCTTTTATGAAAGGGCTTACTGGCTCCAGGGAGAGATACAACAATTTTCACAAACTTTCCTCTAAGGAAACTTTTTTTGACCATTTTCAGCAGATTATTCATGACAAGCAATAAAAAATAAATTATTTATATCCTGCTTTTGGAGGCAAGGTCTGGGGGTTAGGGTGAAAATATTTGAAATATGGTGGTAGGTAGGTGTAATGGTGGTGGAACTGGTGTTGGAATATTAAATGTAACAAACTATTGTGAACAACTTTTAACAAATAAAATAAATAGAATTTCTTTTTCCTTTTATTTCTTAATTAATTTGGGGGGTACTGAATCACATCCAGCTCACCCCTGGCTCTGTGCTCAAGGATTACTCCTGAAAGGTTTAAATGACCATGGGGGTGCCTGGGATCAAATCTGAGTTTGCCATATGCAAGGCAAATGGCCTAGCTACTGTACTACCACTCTGGCCCATATACAATGCTTTAAATTATAGATGAAGATGCTACTTTGCAAGGAAAGCCACAGTAAAGGAAGTTTGCTTGCTTTCTATAGGATTTTGGTCATCATGTCCATCATTAGAGAAAGAAGCAAATTTCACACAGTATAACTTATCTCCCCTCAGCTGCTACCACTTGATAACAATGAGGGAAGACTTATAGATCAAAGAACAAAGGTTACCCAGTGTTCTCTCTCCTTCAGATGCACTGAGTCTAGAATGAACCTACTAATACAATTCCCCCCTTCCACACACACTTATACACATGTCATTGTAATGGTCCCCTGTTTCCTATTAATCTTTACATAATATTCATTTCAGTTTATTTATATTATTTCTATATAAAATTCTTATTTTATGCCTTCACAGAAGCAACCCAGTATAAATTTGAAACATTTAAAATAATGTTATGACAAAGTGTTCATTATTAAAATGACTGAAATAATCAAATAGTGTGAGTTCATTCATAATTTTAAATGTCTCTGCAAAAGGGTTTTCAAGAATATTGTTTCCTAGTTGTTGGGTGAGTGTTAGAGTCAAATCCCAACCTAGTTGGATGACCAAAAAAGGAAGTCTGTTTTAAAAAAAATGAAAGTGACAGAATCATGAATCAAATTTTGAGACCTAAGTCAAATAATTTTGGCAGCAAATTCAATTCCACAGACATTGATCCTTGGGAAAGATAAGGTGGGATTTTCAGTATGATTTTCCTTGACTATTGACATGCAGCCTTGTTTCTCCTCTATTTTTTCAGGCTCCACGTGATTAATGGGAATGAATGTGAGCCTAGGAAACATAAATCCTATTATCTACTACATAAGAACCAACTGGCTTGGAGGAACTAAAAAATAGTGAGCATTTTAGCAGTGAGATATTATCAATTTTTAAGAACATTTCCCCCCAAAATCAGGCTGCAGGAATGAATCAACATGACAAGGTGCAGGCCTCAAGCAAAGGTTAAAATGTCAAAATGTTTGGAAGTGGAAAGGTGTGCTTATCAATGACAAAAATATGGATCCCTTCAGAAAATGGAGGGGAAAAATAGGCTTGGACGCAAACTCCTTCAAGTTAATCACTTCAATTTTTACTAAATTCTGTCTCCATTAAATCTAGTTTGTTGCATATCTGTTCATTAAACTAACAAATTTAATATCAACTATCACCTATTAAAACTGTACCTTTAAAATGATACCTTCAAATCAAAATTCCTTACAATTGCTAACCACATGTAAATGAATGCCACCGTATCAATCTGTTTCAGTGATAAAGGGCTTCAGGAGCTACTAGAGGATATCATAAAACATAAACATGAAGGCAATGTTAATGAAAATACCATTGCAAAGATCTCTGAGATTTTTCTGCAGAGAATCCATGAAAAGTAGAGGAGGGAAAATGGTCATAGCAAGGCTTAGGGACAACTAAAGAGTTTTTCTCAAGAAATGCTCTCAGTTAAAAAAAAAACTCTTATTTTATTTAAATTGCCCTAATTCCATTGTCCAGCCTTCAGATCAATAGTAATTTTGAAGAATAGCTGCCCATATTTCAGGGGCAGTGTGGTAGCCAAGAGTTGGAAAGCAAAATAGAGCTTTTCCAAAGCATCCTTACAATTGTCATTATTTGACATGCCTTGATTTTCCTAAGATGCTCCACTGAGAAGTCTGTCTAAAATTGATTGTATTAATTAACAACAGTGCTGAGGACCTTTACCGTAGGCATTTGTTGAAATAAATTACTAGCATTAAAATTAACTTCACAGGGTCCAGAGCGACAGTTCAGCAGGTTACATGTTAGCTTTGCTCACAGCCAACTATTCAATCCCCAGCATCACACATGGCCTCTTGAGCATTATCAAGAGGGATCCCTGAGCGCAGAGCCAGTATAAACCCTGAGTACAGTAAACTGTGGGACAAAAAACAACCAAACAAACAAGCAAAAAACCCCAAGCCAAACAAACAAAAAGTTTAATTTCACAATTGCCTACAGCAGTGTATCACAGTGAGGGCTAACAATCACTGTATCACTGCCATACCATTGTTTATCGATTTCCTCGAG